AAGTGTCATTAGACTGTGTGCCATGCTTATAGTATTCACATAATAACAAATATGAACAAAATCGCTCCACTACTTTTCGAGTTATAGTAAAACATGTTAAAATGGCAGCCATTTTTCATTTTTCAAAATGACCACAATTTTCCAAAATGGCCACCTTCTACCAAAAGTGTCACTAAACAGTGTGCCATGCTTATAGTATTCACATACCAAATATGAACAAAATCACTCCACCACTTTTTGAGTTACAGCAAAAATCATAAAATAACGAGTAAAGGCCACCATTTTTCAAGATGGGTGCCATGTGCTTCTTTAATATCTACATTTCTAGCTTTATAATGTCTTTTATAGTTTTTTTTATTTAAAACATATTGCTATTACAGTTTTACATATTGAACATAAATTACTGTAAAATTGGCACTAAAATGGCTGCCATTTTTTATGAGCCCCCATTTTGAAAATTGGCTTTCGAGAATAACTTCTATCCCCATAGGGTATATGTGTACAAAATATGAACAAAATCGGGCCAACAGTATATGAGTTATTGCCCAGACAAAGGGATGGACGGACAGACGGATGGACATACAGGTTCCCTATATCCCTCGGAACTTCGTTCAATGGGATAATGATATTTTTCACATAATTAACATCCAGTACCTTATCAGTCAAAATGGAACACAAGTCATTTTCTTTATAATTAGATGGGCAGAATAATGGTAAATATACGATATAAATATACAATTACAAAATGGAAGGGAATAAAAATTCAGTTTACAGGGTTATTTTGATATTTCAAAAACAAGAAACCATAAAAAAGATGTGTTTTAAATGTTAATCAGTGATTTTTGCTCTGCAAGGCCTACATATACACATGATTACCTATACCAAAAATAGGTTTCAAAAATTACAACTCAAAAGTTATGAAGACCTATATTTCAACCTCTGATTTCTCAATATCAGCGAAAATGCAATTGTAACAATGTGGAAATAATAGGACGATATGTAGATATAGGTAGATATGGCTGAGGGTTCTCAGTAATCTCACCTTGGGGGCAGTAGAAACTGGCACTGCAGTTAACTGTAAGTACAAAGTAAAATAAAATGAAACTAAAATGATATGTTTGAACAGTACCATTAATGAATCACGATGAATCAGTCTAATATCTAATGTTGGGTGTTTTCCTAATGGCAAGTGCAGTAACTGACAGTATGTTCTTTTTGTAAAACCCAAGTCATGAAAATGAACAGAGAAAGTTTTGATTGAAATCAGCCTATCCCCTCTCATACTGCATCAAGCTACATACCAGCATCCCAGTCATATTCCATTTGGGACAGTAATTCCCACCAGTGCAGTTCTTACAGTTTCCTACAGATGTCCTCCAAGTTGCACAGTTTTATGTCCCTGGGGGACAAGCTAGTGGGGCAGAGAACTGTTGGGGGCAATAATGACACGTGGGACACTCATCAGCACTTACTCCCAGGAAGGGTATGGTACTATCTGATCCAAATGCACAGAAGTAACCTGTATTGTAAAATACATGTTTACAATTCAAATTATCCATTTATCTTTAATATCCTCTCATATTTACGAAGAGGTTGATGAGGCCCTGATGATGGCTTCTACTTAAAGAGAGAATCAGAGATAGCAAGCAGGCTAAACAAAAAATTGTTTCAATTTTAGAATATTTTTGGCTCATGTCATTCCTTGTCATGTCTATTTTCTAAAAATTACAAAAGTGCATACTTTATTCAAGGAAAACGAAAGATTTTTACAATAATGTATTATTTTTCTATAAGAATGGTTACCATTCTTATTATTTGGGAGAATTTAAACATTTTTCACACATTTTTGCACTTTGAATCATTAATAACTTCACCAATTTATAACATATTGTGAATCTTTTGGAAGATATTGTATTTGATATTGTAAGGAATAAATTGGTAGGCCAATTATGCACGTTGCTTGTAATTTTGTCACTCCCTATAGATCTGATTCTGCCTTTAATAAAGAAGAACAAAAACAGATTGCTTTTCATGCAAAAAACTGTTTTATGACTACAATACTGAAAATACCTGGTATGTAGAATACACTTGGGGAAGATATAATAGAGAAGTTTCAATTGTAGGTTAAAGGTATAACAAGGGGTAAAGGATCACTTACCAGAGTCACATGGCTCTGTAGGCTCAGGCAGCCCTTGTGTCTCACAGTAAATTCCTCCTGTACATGGCTGACAGAACTGTATACAATGCATGGGTTTGGCCGTTGAATGTCCCTACAGGACAGGGATTCTCTGTTGCAAATGTTGCGTTTACTTCACAGTAGTACCCTATGAAATAAAAGGAGGACTAAAGTAACTGTCTATAAAACTGTCATTCTTCTAATTTATAGGGATTCTGTAAAGAAATCTCTATTATTTTCATTTCATATAATGTCACATTTAATGAGATGAAAGGGACAAAAATATTTACATTGTAATCATACCTAAGCAAGCAATGGTTTGTTTTTGCTCATGTCCTATCAATGGCTGAATCAGTGGATAACAAGGATGCCACTCAATCACAACCACAATCACTGCATGTTCTTACTGACGATAATATTTGGTTAATTAAAACACAGAATGAAATCCTGAGCTGAGGGCTGCTGTAAAAAAAAGTCAGTCAGTCTACTTACTCGCTTACTAACTCAGCCATGGTATATGAAGTATTGTACAGTATGACTGGTGCCATTGTAATATCACTGTATAAACCCTGTGGACAATCCTTGCAGTATGCCATGCCCAGTTTGTCCTGGTATGAGCCAGAGGGACATCAGATAGGGAGAAACGTCACTTCCAGTGGGGCAATAGTGGCTTAAACATAACAAGTTAATAAATATATGAAATTATGAACATCACTCAAGTGGAACAACAGTGACCTTATACAAATAACTAGTCAAAATATATGTGCAGTAAATGAAAATCCATTTAAAATCATTCAAATTGGATCATCATAAAAGTTTACAAAATTAATGTTTCCTCATAAGAGCCATTTACCTTCCTTGCAGTTATACCCAGTAGAGGAATCATCATCTTGACCCCCAGGATAGTAATATACAGCAGAACAAAGGCCAGTTGGGGCATCATTCCCACTACCAGCACAACAAAAGCCCGCAGTGCAGAGTTCACAGTCTGAGACGTCATCATTGCCAGTGCTGTTGAGGTAGTAACCAGCCTGACAGAGTTGAGGAGCAGCTTTACCATTTGGACAGAATTCTACACGAGGACAAATGTCCCCTGAAATAATAAATTATACAAACTTGAGTAATACTGTTGAATTGCATGAAGGTTCTATAAATCATATTGTGCAGCAGGTACTAGCAGATTGCAAGTGTAAAATAATAATAAAAGAAATTGTCAATAATAAAACAACTTCAATAATGATTTACTTATTGAAACATTATCATTAATTTGGGAGAACACTGAAGTGGTGAAAAAGGTTATTTTACAGGTTGTCAAATGGCGTTGTGTCCCCCCCATCCACAGCATAAAGTAGGAGAAGTACACATACATACTATATACCTTTGGAAAGAGCATATAATTGTTGTTAAAGTGTGAAAAGATGAAAATGTATGACAGAAAATAAGACAAATTTTGAACTAATTTTTGAAAGTGAGTATGATCACATTGGGCAGCGGAAAATGGCTGTGACTAGCTGGATATGAGTTATAAAAGCCATGGAGAAGAGCAATGTCTTTCTGAAGAGATCTCAATACTTTTTTGAGGTCCTTGTAAAGGGTGGCTTTGGAATATCTGTTCTCTGTAGCTTCAATAAGGTGTTCTGTTTTATCCATTAATATGGACCTCATATGATCTGCAGTATTTAAGGGAGTTGTTGCTTGTGTATATGTCAATGCCGAAAAAGTCTATGCAGGAATTCGTCAAAATCATTAAAAAGAGCACCATACTAGTATACTTCAGTTGTGAAAAAATATGTGAAAAAATATGTAGCAATACCTGACCTTGGTCATCTGCTGTTTATTTTATTAAGCATTTTATCAAGCATTGCTATTTCCAATAACATACAGAATGTATAGGTACTTCTCCTAGATAGGTACTTCTCCTAGTTTATGCTGTGTAAGGGGGGGGGGGGGCACAACGCCATTTGACAACCCGTATAACTGTCATGCAATTGGTCTCACTAGTTATATTTTTCTGTGACATAAACATTTTTGATTTATTCATACCAGTGGTACCATCATTACTGGGGTTAGGCATAGTAGCTAATGATGTTCAGTAATATCCTCCGAAACACTCACCAGACATTACTCCTAAATAATCAGTAGCACAATGGATCCTTCAGGGCAGTATTCTCTGGTCACGCAGTTGCAGACCTACCAGTAAAATAATAAACTGCTTTACATTGGCCAGTTGAAGTTGTCAGGCCTGTTTATTCACAGTACTGTCCACCTGAATGAAAATGGAGTAATATGATCACAGAAACGCAAGACAGAAGAGGAAGAATGAGAAAATATCCAATTGAGATTATAATTTATATGATAATAATATTTGTATCACTGTTTCCTCCTCAAAATATCTCTACTGTCAATTTTATTATTTTTTAAACTGCACGTTCATAGTTTTTACAAGATGAGTTTTCCCAGATTCAATAAAATACATAATTTAATAAAAGAAACAGTACCAACCTGGACAATCTAAGCAGTCTTCAACTTTAGTACGATGAGATATGTTGTTGTATTTCCAAGCTACACATGGGTACTGGTTCCATGCCTCAGTGCCATCTGGACAGTAGTGTCCACTGAGACACTCATAGTAAGTGTAGTTGACAGCACCACTAGGGCAGTAGTAACCTACAGTAAAACAAAGCATCTGTTGAATGTTGAAAACCAATAAGGTGGAGTCTTCCGAACCCTAGCCATCCAAAGATAAGCTTCCAAAGACAAGTTGAACCACCAAGCAAATCACCCAAAGACAAGGAACTCCTAGTCACTTAGAGATAAATAACTCATGTAACTGTTGTTTAAAGGAACTGACTGATTGATACCATGTAGAAACTCCCAATCGACTCCAGAATTACACAAATTGCCTGCAGCAAAATCACCTGTAACATGAGCACTCAGAAATAAGTGTTTAAGAGCATTTAAGATTTAATTCTCTTTTAAAATCAGTTTTTTGAAATGACTTAAAACACAAATGCTCAGGCCAAGTTTTAGAGCTGGAATGAATCATGGAGCTTCAATCTCTTCATATCACAGTGACCAGGTAAGATATGGTTCAATGAATTTACCTGAAGGTGTTGGGGGGCAGAGGTAGCACTTCATATCCTGGGTGTAGTTCACATAGTTGTTGGTTTTGCTGGGGATAGGACCTGGGCAAGTTCCCTCAGAGCAGTAATGTCCAACTGGGCAGACAGTCGCTCGGGCACCACTCCATATTGAGCCTATTGGACAATAGTATCCAGGATCACACCTTGGTTTTAAAAAACCCTCCGTCTCAAAGTTTCCAGGACATGGGAAACATTTTGTATCATTCTTCAGTCCAGTTACATTGCTGTATGTCCCAATTGGGCACTGGATTTGGTTTACTGTGCTTTCAGTGCAGTATTGACCCTCTGGGCAGATGATGAAGTCAGGGGTTGTAATGCTACTGGGGCAGTTATACCCTGCGTCACATTCCCCACTTGGCAGTTGGTTGCCACAGTAATAGCCTAAAACAAAGGCATATTTTTGATATGTTGAAAACTGAAGGACAAGTCATTAACATGCAAATGTCAACTACTGCCATTTGTTACATTTGTTAAAGATTCCAAACATAAACTGCTGACTGCCACCACCAAAAAGTTAGAGACTATAACAATTTGTCACCAGTTCTGTTGGTGACATGAAAATGTATTTTGAAGACTACCAACTCGATTTTCGTTCAGAATACACTTTTCATTCAAAATACGCCTAGATATTTTCCTTAATTATTACATGCAGTAAAAAAATGTCAAGTAAAACACCTCTGATATACAAATAGAACACTTTTCTTGTGACTCATTTGGCTTAGAGCACAAGTGGAACACTTTATTTAGAGGTTCTTGAGGTGTTCCACTATGTTTTACCAGTATAACCTACCCTGCATTGAAGATCTTTGAATACATGTATGCGGTCTGGGCAGTCTGATCACAGTAATAGCCATGGGGACACTCTGTACAATTTGCCTCATTCTGGAGCCCTGTTTCATTGCCAAATGTTTCACTGGGACGGGGATACTCATTGGATAAGCGGGTGCCAGCAGGACAGTTATAACCTGAAATAGTAATTATGTGATAAACAGTCCTCCAAATTGACCATTTGAGTCAAAATAAATTTTATGCTTAACAAGACAAAAAGCAATGCTGTGGCTTAGCAAATCCCATCGAACACCTTTTTAAGTGCCACACAAAGTTATGAGCCATCAGTTCTCAAAATGAAGGCATGAATCATCTGTCCATGGGCCACACTGACGAGATGTACTTGATGGTGGCTGATTAGGCTCTCTGCATCTTCATTGGCAAATGAGATTGCTGGGACTAAATTGTCAAAAATCTATCTAAATCAATAAAAAGATGGCTAGGATTGAAAGAGATCTGAAATATAAATGAGGGTTTATGTATTACTTCAAGTTGTAAAAAACAGACATCTGTTTTCTTCTTCAGTGATGATGGAAGCAAAATTGACCTGCCATTTATGATTCAATATTCTTGTAATTTCCTTTATTCATAAAGATATTTGGAAATGTACAAGTCAAAAATTATTTTAATGGCAGTTGTGATTTATCTTAGTTTAATTATCAGTATTTAAAAAAATTGAAATGAGAGTTAATTTAAAAGGAGAAACAGATCTACAGAAAAAATGTTTCAATTATACAACATTTTGGTCTTAAATCATTCCTTATTACATTTATTCCTTAATAATCCCCAATTTTTATGTGTTAATTTTTCTGTAATGATATCAACATTGATTTTTTGAGAATTTTTACATGTTTGCACTTTGAATCTTAATAACTTCTTCATTTGATATAATTTTTTTATTAAGATATATTTATTTCATTTCAAAATTTTACAATATATATCCTTTCAAACGCCTGCCTGGGCATAATAGAAGGAAATATTAGATAAGACAAATACATATTAATATAAATAAGGCGAAGGAGTTAATACTGATAGAATATCCTAAATCATTTGGAACATAATATGTTTGAAGTGATAAGGAACTGATTTGGAACTCCAATGTACATATTGCTTGCAATTTTGTCAACCCATATACTGTCTTTAGATCTGTTCCTGCCTTTAATGGTAAGCATTATAATATGGATTGAACTGAGAGGATTAGGTTGGACTGGTTTAATGTAAAAGTTGGATTGGGTCAGGGAAGGTTGTACTTGGTAGAGAGGTATAAAGCGTTAGACACAACAAGCTAGGTGAAGTGAGTGTTTTAAACTCAGGAGATTCCAAATTTTTTAGAAATCTAACCCAATCCAGCTTTTACATAAAACCAATCCAACCCAATACACTCAATCAAATCCATATTTTAATGCCCATCCCTTTAAATAAAGTACTCACCTTAGGAGAGATTTTGCTCTTTCTCATTCACTCTAATTCATTCTAATTCATATACGTATGTCTATACTGCTGATGTACCTTTTACATTCTATTATTAGTAATGAATACATTTAACTGTTAAGCAATCTTAACTGTTAAGCAATCTTACTTAATGTGGCAACCATATCTAAGATCAACATCTACTTTAGCTATACATATATATCTTAAAACAAAATAAAAGCATATCATTCATATCTTCTGTTCATGATTTCTTCTTGTCATAATCGGTTGTTTATTCTGGTTTAGTCTGTTGTAGATCTGTGTTTTTTTAAATAATTGATTTTTCCTCTTATGTTCACTTTTCTGTGTTAAATACTTTTTTTCATTTTTTCAATGGTCATTTATTGTTTTCCTCCCTGCTGTGTATTATCATATTAACTAGTCTGTCCTGATCAAATGATAATACTATTCTTGTGTTCTGCTTTCAAAGATATTTGTTTTCTTTTAAATGATTATCTTCTGTTTAATGTTTCATTGTGTTAAACTTATCTTGATATTTTGGGGTTTTGGTTGTTGACATCCTCTTACTCCTTTTTCTAACCTCATTTTTGCATTCCATTATTAGTAACAAATAAAATACATATATGACTAATTGTGGCAACTATATCTAAAAAGATCAACAAATATATCTTACCACAAAATAAATTTATTCAATCAAATTAAGGCCTCTTCTGTTCAATATATCTTGTTTTCTCAGGTATTGTTTTTCATTTTGCCATGGTCTCTTATAGAACTGTTTTCTAGTAGTATCTTTCTGTGGTATGTTTGAAATAGTATATTTTCTGGAGGAGACATTTACATATAAACTTTGTTCGAGTAAAGGTTACTGTAAGGATTTAATATTGTGTACCGTCAGTATTTATTATCTTCAATGTCAATGTTCACCTTGCACATGGTTATCTAATAATTACTTAACATTCCTAATAATCACTTTGATCATTTCATGGTAGCTCAGAGTACAGTAAGAACTACAGAGTACAGTAAGGACTAGAGTACAGTAAGGACTACAGAGTACAGCAAGGACTACAAGGGTATCGTAAAGACTAAACTTGGATTGGGTAAAAGTTACTGTAAGGACTTCACATTGTGTAGCATCAGTATTTTATTATCTTTTTGGAGTCAATGTCTATCTTCCAAATGGTTTATTTACCAATTACTTAACATTCCTAATAATTACTTTGATCATTTCATGATAGCTGTAATAGATAGGTAAAACGCATACATCTACATTGTGTAATGTTCGACTAGCATAAACATGATCGATACATGTTCCAAATTCAGTCGTTGGTACAGCTGGGTCTGACAGTAATCTGTATCTTTGGCGTATCAAGAAATCATGAATAGGGTGCTTCTCTGTATCAATCAAATTTTCATTTAAATCACCAACAATAAGAACTTTTTTATACTTTTTGTGAACATGATGTAAAATGTTCTCCATTTCTAAAATGAATTTGGTATTCACTATTTTCGGTGACTTATATAATGTTATCACTGCGATATCTTTGACAATGGTTAAAGCATTGTCCAACGGTGATATTATGCTAGATGTCTGCAAGTTTCCTAAACTATTCTTCTTATAAATGGCAATTCCACCTTTACGGCTTGCGTCAATTTCTGTTTTTCTATTCGCTATATGTGGAGGATCAAATGTTTCAATCTCTAGAATATCATACACATTTTCATGTCTAAGCCATGTTTCTGTGAGACACATAATATCACATGAGGTCAAATCAGTGTTACACTTTACATCTTCTATATGACCTATCAAACCCTGTGTATTATGATAAATAATTGTCAAGTCATTTTCGGTTGCTATTTCTAAGTGAGGTAAATATTGAGATATATCTAACTCTGTCATCTCTTCTAGAGCCTTTGCTGTTTTTTCGTCGCAATATATTTTCTTTGGGTCGTAATCAATTATATAAAGACCTTCAGCTGATGTTACCCTACTGAAAGCAACATATGCTTGACCACCAGTAAATAAGTTTGCACAAGATATGGCAAGTCTTTCGCATGTTTTCCCCTGCAATTTATGTATAGTGCAGCCATATGATAATATCAGTGGTAGTTGACGTCTCATAAATTTGCCATTGACTTCATCATTATATGGTTCAATACATATAGAATCAGGGTGAGATTTAGACTTATTTTTATATCTGCTCTTTATACCTACTTTTGGATTATCAAATTTAACCCATACGGCCTTTGGCATATTGTCTGTATCATTTTCAAATTCAATAGCAGTAACAACACCAAATGCACCATTAGCCAGTCCATCGGCAGTACATATATTTTTTATCAGAAGAACATGTGCACCAACGCAAATTTGTATTTCATGAGAAAGGGTATCATCCCGATGATTTGGTGGTTTGTCAGTTTTTTTCCATTCTTGGCCTTTCAATTTGGTGTAATCAATTGCTTTTACATTATATAGTGTATTATTAGTTGACTTTGCATAAGACAATATTCTCTTCCGATTATACTCATTCACTTGGACATGCTTCGAATATATCCTCATGACATCTTCAGGAATTGGTTTTTTCATTATTTCTCTAATGAATTCATCGTCTTCAGTTGATAATTTTTCTCCTTTTTTAAGAATTCTAATTCTGTTTAAAAATTCGGCATATTTGAGATCATCTTTTTGTCTCATAATTTCAGTCAGCTCTATTTTCTTGAATTTTCCCCAAGGATTATAATCTGGCTCATCAGAGGTCAATAGACTTTTCTGCATAACTGGGGGCAATTGATAGAAATCTCCAAATGCTAATACTGAGGTGTTACCAAAGTCTGGATGGTTGCCAGGTTTAATTTGCTTAAGTCTTCCCCGTACTGTGTTAAAAAGTCTGACACTAACCATAGAAATCTCATCAACTATCAGATTCTCTAGAGATTTTAGTCTCATTTTTAAGGGAGCTATATCTTTTTCTTCAAGTGGCTTATATTTTGTAGGTATAAATCTTGAAGTGATTCTAAATGCCGAATGCAACGTATTACCATTAATTTGGAATGCGCTTGTTCCTGTTGGACTTGTTAATAGTACACTCAAGTCATCTGGGTTCTTTAAAAGATTTCGCAATAAATGTGTGGAAATATAATGGATGCACTTAATCAAATGTGTTTTACCTGTCCCTGCTTTTCCACAGATATGAAGAAATAACGGTTCAACTTTTTTATGCCACGATAACTCTAAGCATCGTTTCCTAATTAAGTAAAACACTTGTTTTTGCTTTGCATTCATGGTTCTCATTAACTTCATGGCTTCCTCTGTAGGTATTGTATCTGTCTGTAATTCTACAAGACAATTTACATTTCCTTTAATTTTTGTTTTAAGGTCAATATCAGGCATATCGTTTTCATCAATTTCATCACAATTGGGTTTAACATATTCAGAAATACACTCCTGTCTTTCCAGTTCTTGCTCTGGTGCTAACTGAGCCCATGCATTCTCATATGTATCATCTTCATTTAATTGTTCTTGCGCAGCATCTAAATCATCGCCAGTAACATCATAAATACATTTATATTTTGACACAATTTCAGACACTTTCAAAAATATTTCTCCATGTTTTATTTTTCCACACTTGAAATAGCCTTCAAATGTTTCATATTGAGCAGGTCGCAATTCTTGATCACTTCTGTGTGGTATGAAGAGTTGGAGCATACTATGATAGTATTCATCAGGATTTGTGTCCTTCGAGAATTTTGGATATCTTATAATAGCTGGTTGACTTTTTGATCTCTTCTGAATATATCCTAAGCCATTTCTCAGTTGTATCTTTTTTGATGTTTCTGTTTGATTTTCAAATACTTCATCATCATAATTATATGTTACAACTCTGTACATTGATGCAAACTCTGCCAAACATAATTCATCAAATTCTAAATTACATGGCCTTGCAAAATATCTTTCAATGATACTTGTTGCCCATATTTTATCTTGTTCATTCTCTTTGTGTCTGCGGATTTGTGAAATTGGTAATGACATCTTTATTGGGTTGTTACCCACTGGCAGAAATACTGTTTGTCTTGAACATTCTTTAAGATGAAGATTGGTGGCTCTGTACACAGCTTCTTGAGCACTAACTTCTCTATGTTGCATATATTTGTATCCGATCATTTTCATGAGTTTTGAGGCAGATGCATTTTTCTCTTTAGCTTCTTGTTCAGCATCTATTAGATTTTGACTCATATCACGTTCTTGTTTTGAAATGTATGATACAATATACACTACACACGAAAATACATCAAGAACATATTGTATATCCATGTTAGCTTCCCATGCTTTCAGAAGGTCTGGATTGTAGTTATTTATCCACATTTCCTGAACATTTCTCCTTAAGAATATGGTTTTCTTTCTTTTACTAGTCAAAACTCTAATAACATTTTCATATTTCTCCATTGTTAATCCTGGATATGCTTTCTCAAAAATTTCAGTTAATGTCATTTTAGCATAATCTTCTGACAGAAAGAACTCCCAAAGAGACTGAATAATATCTTCAGCTACTTTTATTGGTATTATCTCTGTTGGTTCATCAGAAATGTTGTCATCAACAATAAAGGTTCTGTCAGATGGAAGTTTGGGGAAGTGAAATCTACAACTTGCTTTTTTATTTTTCTTACAACTTTTTGAATGGTTTTTGCTGTGTGTTTGAACTTCATTGACTAATCTGTTCAAATCTGGATCAATTG